TGGCCACTTTCCTGCTGGAGCGACACCTATAGACATGCTCCCTCCAGGGATGAGACCCCTTCCTCCAGCAATCAGAGGCCATTTCCCCAAGGAATGTGTCCACCAAGACATTAAATCCATAGTTGCACTTTAATCACTAGTGTTCAGGAGGGAATCAAGGTGCAAGGTATGGAAGCTAAACAGGGGCTTTTTGCTCTCCCAACTCCTTCTTAGCACAAAAGATTGTATGACTCTGTGTGTGTGTGTGTGTGTGTATAAATGCTTGATTTGTATACTTATTTTATGTGCAAATATACATATAAAAATATGCACATATATGCACATAAAACAAATATACAAATCAAGCATTTACTGATGATACATAATAAAGAAAGAATATTTTGCATCAGTCCTCTGGCAAATATGCATTGTTACCCTTGTTACAAAGAATACAAGCAAATTTACATACTAAGGAGGTGGCCGTAATGAAATATTGGCTGGCTGTTTGATACTACAAGATGGACATCAACTTGAATGTTCTTCAAAGTTAGTGGCTATTTTGATTTTATACTTGTCAAGGCTGAGACTGCCACTTTACATACATATGTAATACAAGGTGGCAAAATCATTTTTAGCACTCTTTCTGGGAAAAAAAACCCTACATTCTGTCCCAACCCCAAGCTAAAATTTAAGGATTTGTGTATGTATGTGTGTTCATATGGTAGAGAGATGGGTGTGCATACATGGAGTTCAAAGGCCAACATCAGGCATCTTCCTCAGTCACCATCCACCTTAATACTTCTAAGATTCATTTTAATTATTGTTAAATTATGTATACGTTTATAAGAGGGTTATGGAGTACGTGCATGTGAGTTCAGGTGCCTGCAGAGGCCAAAGGCTTGGGATCCCCTAGAGCTGACAGCCACTTTGAACCCAGGTCCTCTGTGAGAGCAATATATGCCCATAACCACTGGGCCATCTCTCTGGCCCTGCACTTTTTGAGAAGTCTCTCACTGAACCTAGCGCTTGTTGATTCAGTTGTACTAGTTGGCCATCGAGCCTCAAGGAGATTTCTGTCTCTAGCTCACCAGTGCTAGAATTACAAGCACCCTGTGTCTTTGCACAGGGACTGGAGATCAAACTCTGGTCCTCGTGTTTGTGCAAGAAGCACTTTACTGATGGGCCATCTCCACGGTCCCCCCATTGGTCTTTGTTGTTGTTGTTGTTGTTGTTGTTGTTATTGTTGTTGTTTTTATGAAACTCAAGTCAATAAGACCAAACATTATAGCATAATACAATCCGAAGACACACTAATTGGATACATTCATGCTGAAAAATTATAGAGTAGGAAAATATGAAAAGTTGTGGCTTCCATATTTCTTTTTATTTCTATACGAGCAGAAAACTGTATATGTATGGTAAAAACACTGACGTTCCTAAGCTACGAAAGGCCCCATCTGAACTTTGCGTGGGAGCATTTGTTGGTGCTGTGTGGTGTGTGGGGTGCTGTGTGGGGTGCTGTGTGGGGTGCTGTGTGGGGTG